ATGCTTTTGTTTTTTTTTTTTGTATGCAGACTGATAAAGCGTCGTTACTAGCGGAAGTGATTCAACACGTGAAAGAGTTGAAGAGAGGGACTTCTGTGATCTCGGAGACAAACTTAGTTCCAACGGAGAGCGATGAGTTAACGGTAGCTTTCACGGAGGAAGAAGAAACTGGAGATGGCAGATTCGTGATTAAAGCGTCGCTTTGCTGTGAAGACAGGTCGGATCTATTGCCGGACATGATCAAAGCGTTGAAAGCGATGCGTCTCAAGACGCTCAAGGCGGAGATAACCACCGTCGGAGGACGAGTCAAGAACGTGTTGTTTGTCACCGGAGAAGAGAGCTCCGGCGAGGAGGAGATGGAAGAGTATTGTATAGGGACGATAGAGGAGGCTTTGAAGGCGGTGATGGAGAAGAGCAATGTGGAAGAGTCGTCTTCTTCTGGGAATGCTAAGAGACAGAGAATGAGTAGTCACAATACTATCACCATCGTCGAACAACAACAACAACATCACAGGTAATCTATTTTTAATCGCGTGGTTTTTCATTTTCGGTGTATGTAAGTGTGTTGTTGATGTTCATGCTCATGGAGATGAAATGTTGTACGTTACGTTATACTATAGATATGTGTGTGTATGTATAACGGAGATATTTGTATCCGTTGGGGCTTGGTTTGGTTCTAAGTACTTTTCTTTTGCTTGTATCGTTGAGTTGGTTATTATATGAGTTTCCTTTATCTTCCAAGTTTGATACATGTATCGCCAAAAGATGATGCATGGGTCGTATTTAACTTTGGTGAGTTTTGGGTTATTTTGCAATTGTGCAAGTGAAACCAAAAAGAGACAATGAAGAAGATCAGGAAACGTACCAAAGATGATGAGTGTCATTAATTGATTTTAGTCAGGCTGAGTCCGTGGAAAACAAAAAGAGACAAGTTTTGGATTCTGAGGTTTGTACGTTGATGCTTCTCTGACTCTTTTGCCTTGTGTATTTTCGTCTCTCTATAATCTTTTTCGGGTAACGATTATTCACATAGATATACATATCTCACAAACAATCAACTTTCAAGAATTTGTCTTAAAAAAACAAAAACAAAAAATAATCACACACACGTTCTCAACTATAGGATCAAATGCGTAAAAGATCGATATACGAATAAATGATTAAAGATCAAATCGAGGAATATATATATGACCGCTTATATGCATGATTATGTGATTTTGATTTTGATTTTGATTGTGAATTTTGTGATTGAGATGGGTCATGACGGGGAGATTACGTAATAGACGTTGTATTTGTGTAAGATTGCATCACAAAAGTGAAGTACGTAAGACGTTATTAATTATTATTATGATGTTTGGTACGTACTATTGTACCCTAACTGCAATTTCATTTGTCTTTAACATTTTTCACCCCCAAGTGACGGCCATATTGATTTGTCTATTAGTGTGACTCATTTTTCTTGGATTTCTGCAGACATGACCTACTATTTTACCTTTTTTCATAATCTTAACCCAAAACTTATTGTTAGTGAGATAATAAGGATTCTTCTGATTATGTCGTTGGTTTCCACAAAGATACGGTACTAGGACTACAATTTGCATTGAAAACAAGTACTATTTGGATGCCCATGTTTTACCTGGTCTAGCGGAATTTGATAAATTGCTACCATTTTGAATTATGTGGAAAATATGGAAATCAAGAAACCATTTAATCTTCTAAAATTAGAGGATAAAAGTCAGGAAAAAAATCAATAAAGTATTTGCAGAGGTTAAAGAATGGATTTCTGTTTCCTGAGAGTCCTCTTTCTAACCTTGTTCAGTCTTATGATCCTACCAAAACATGAACTCGCCCATCACAAGGGTTTGTAATTATAATGGAATTTTAATCTACAAAACCAAAAAAGTACTAGAGATTGTTCGTGACTCACACGGATAATGTCGATATTAGGGAAATGCAGACTTAGGCATAATTATGACACCTTTTGAAGCTGAAGAAAAAATATCTGTAGTATCTTTATAGAATATTTGGAGTATAGGATATAAGAATGTTTCTTTCGAAAGAGATTGCCAAAACCTAGTAAACTTTATTCAAAACATAGATCAGGATGTTAATATTGCTAATTTATTTGATGATATTAAAGCTTGGATGTGTAAGTTTCAAAATATTGTTGTAACTCATGTTAAAAGAGAGTGTAACGAATTTGCATATGGATTAGCTAAACATGATCCGTTCATGGGCCTTTTTAACTCTGATTATGATTACCCGCCTTCTTAAGTTACAAATAGTTTGTATTTGGATTGTAACGATTCAAAATAAATAAATATGATTTAGCCAAAATAGTTGCCAAAAAAGAAAATTTAAATGAGCCTTTTGTATTAATTTTTTAATCATCTTATTTTAGAACTACGACCCAAATATAAGTTATCTCCAGTGTCATGTGTGGAAGGTTAAATGTCCACCAAAATTGAAGCACTTTATTTGGCAAGCAATTTCAGGATGCATCTCAGTTATGGATCGGTTACATCATAGAAGAATAAAGTATGACAAACAATACGCACGTTGCGGAGCGGAACGAGAAACAATAAATCATATGCTATTTGAATGCCCTCCAACTCTCCAGATTTGAGCATTATCACCAATACCAACACCAGTGAGGATCTTCCCAAGCACAGCCTTATACACGAATTTTGCACATCTATTTTGGTAATTACCAAATACAGAGGAAATGAAAGTGTTCTCATGGATAATCTGGTACATATGGAAAGCAAGAAATGACAAGTTATATTCAAATATTGATCGGGACCCAGAGATGTTTTATGGATTGCACAAGTAGAGGCTACAACGTGGGTTTTGGCGCAGATAGATCCACCACAACAGGAAAATCAAAGTACAATAGATGTGGTCGTCCAGGGACAAGAGCGATTAATTTGTCAAACAGATGGCTCCTGGAAATCAACATGCTCGAATGCCGGATTAGGATGGTATTGTCAAGGCAGTGGAACAGAGGTTACGGTAATGGGGGCGAAAAATATAAGGCGAAGCATTTCTCCGTTACACACAGAATTAGAAGCTCTAATATGGGCTATGCATTGTATGCTTGATGCACGAAGATTGACGATGGCTTTCGTCATGGATAGTTCTGAATTGGTAAAGATGGTGTCTGAACCAGAAGAATGGCCGGCTTTCGCTACACACTTGGAGGAATACGAGATAAGCAGAAAGGAATTTCAGGTCTTTTCCATCTCACACATTCCACGTACTCAGAACACAAAGGCAGACAAGCTAGCACGTGGTGCTCGAGACTATCTTTATAGTTTAAATTATGTAAATTCATCTCCACTGGTTTAGTTATCTGAATCGTTTTAAGAGTTTGAGACTGTTGAAAAAAAAAAAAAAATCATCTTATTTTAGAAAGTGTTTGAAAATTGAAGGCCCAAACCAAGCCCAACTACGATTTCAATGTAGTCACTAGTTACTCCTAGTTAGTTACTATTCACGCCCTTTTTGTAGCACATGCCATCAATCTTATCAACAAAACCGAAAATGTCCTAAACATCAATTAGATACTTGCACGACAAGACATTGATATTTAATTAATCAATTGAGAGAAACGACTTTTGTACTTCTCTTCTCACAAAATGATTGAACAGTTGTTGTATTTTTTATACTATAAGGCTTGGATAGGTGACAAAAAAGTGGTACATACGTGAAATTTTGTTATAAACGGTACTTAAATAATTATAAAAAGTAAAAATTAATGGTAAAAGAAAATGAGTAAAAAATTGAAAATAGTTCATATCATTGATTGATAACTATCAAAACAGTAAACTTTACTACAAGTCTACAACTATATAAAATTTATCAATCAAATTCTATATTTTGATATATGTTCGTTTAATTTTTTTTTTTATTATACCACATATCAGAAATAATATCAGAAACTATATAACTTTATTTGAGTTTATCAATTATATTTTTTTCTTTTAAAAATGATAAATTACAGAATTGTTAATAGTTAAAAATTAAGTCACATTTACTCCATCATTTATATGGAGAATTTATTAAATAAATAATGTCATGTCCATATTTATCAATATGATATGATGATTTACAGGAATGATTAAATTGCTTAATTTGATATGATGGTTATCTTTGTTATAATACTTGAATAAGTCCAGCGACATGTACAGTAATATCTTACAGGTTAAAGATTATGTATATATACTAAAAGGGTGATATTTGATTATTGAATTAGATAGAATGTACAAAAATTCAAAAATAATTGATTTCTAAGTAATTCAAAATGTTTTGTTGGAATTTAAAATAATTCTATCAAAATCAGAATAAAAATGATAGGAATTGATTCTTTACAGTTTTTATGTAAGATTTTATTAAATTCCTTCCAAATGATAATAGAATCAAAACTATTATAAAATTGAATAACACAGATATTTAATAGAATTAGAGAATTAGTATATTGAATAACAATGATATTTAAATGATTTTGAAAGAATGAATAGAAATCATTAATCCAATAACACATATATTTAAAAGAATTGATAATATATATAATTAAATAACAGTAGCATTTAATGGCATTTTCAATTCCCTACAATTCAATCTAATTTCTGAATCCAATACCCCACCTAAGTAAATTTCAGTGTAAAAAGAACTTTAAACTTTGTTCTCAATACTTAAGCTTTTTTTTTTCCTTTCTATAGCTTAGGAATACGTTGACCAAAACAAAAAAAGAGAAACCTTAATAAAACGGAAGAGCATATGAAATTCATTAAATTGTGTTTAGACAAAAATGACGACAACTTACTTATGCCATGTCACCTCGAATGTTCTTAAAGAAGATATCCAACCAATCATAGGGTTATGCACTCTAATTCAAATCTCAAAAGGAAAAAACAATTCAAATCTCATTCTCTATAATAAAGTCGAAAATTAAGATCTGTCATTTGTATATATTATATATATTTCCTGAATTACCCTTATTTCTATCCACAGTGGTATGCAAAAAGTGAAAGGGTATTTTCGGCATATAAGCTTTTGTCGTTTGGCTTTGGCGTGGAAGCTCAGCCTTTCTGCGGAGAACGGAAAAAATGTCTCTTTCTTCTCAAAGAACAATCTTTTTCTCTTCTGTGTTTGCTTCTTGAAAAATTTCCCGGAAAAAAACTCAAATTTACCTCAATCAGATCTTGAATTTGAGCTGTGTAAACAAGGGTCTGAGTGATTTAGAGTCTTAGGGTTTCGTAACAGCGAAATGTTGGTGCAGAGAAGAGTAATGAGCTGGAGAAGAGTCTGGAAGTCGTTTCAAGCGGTTTCCGCTCATGGTTTGCTCTTCTCCTTCACGCTTCTTCTCGCTCTCAAGCTTGATCATGTCGTTTCTCATTCATGGTGGTCAGTTTTTTTTTTTTTTTTTTTTTTTTCTTCTTAATTCTCCGCAAGTTTGGTGCCCTTGACTTCTCTTTGGTGTTTCCAAAATTGGGAAACAAATGGATGATTCGATTGATTGGATTCTCTGTTTCTTCCTTAATTCTGTAGAAAAATTGGATTTTTTTAAGTTTTAAGCTAGTAGAATTGTGAGAACTCGTCTTAGTTTTATCACTTGACATCCTTAAAGGTGAAGACTTGTTGGATGGCTTTTCACTCTCCTTTGATTTTGTTTTTTATGTACAGGTTTATATTTACGCCCCTGTGGCTATTTCATGCTGTGATTGCTCGCGGTAGATTTTCACTGCCTGCTCCATCAATGCCTCATGATCGACATGTATGAGCACTTTGTGATCATCACCTTGAACCTTTTTTTACTACTCTATGTTAAGGATGTTTGTAAAACCTGTAAAGTTCTGGTCTTGTGGCAGTGGGCTCCTTTTCACTCGGTCATGGCAACGCCACTGCTTGTTGCTTTCGAGATCCTGCTCTGTGTTCATCTTGAAGATAAATATGGTAACTTTTTCGATTACTTGTATGCACTAATCATAAATTGACTGGTGGGTTTAGTCATAGCTTTGGTTGTGTGTTCCTGTGTTGCAGTTGTTGACTTAAAGATTGTCTTCTTACCGTTGCTTGCATTCGAGGTAGCGATTTTGGTAGATAATGTCAGGTATTTCATCAAAGTTTTAAGGTTTGGTTTTTGTTCACTCTTTTTACTATTCTAGACAATGATGAAAACTTGCTTTCATCATGTTTAATTTTTCCCTTAGTGAATGGTGATGAGTAACATACAACTTTTCTTGCAGAATGTGCAGGACACTCATGCCTGGAGATGAGGAAACTATGAGTGATGAAGCCATATGGGAAACGCTTCCCGTAAGTTGGTTCTTCTCTATATACATAAAGAACTTGTCCTTAAAGCTCGAAAGATTTCAAATTTGGTTACTTACACATGGTTAATCTCTCTGTTTGACATGAAACAAAAAAAAAAATTTGGCTTGGCTTTGCTTGTTCTTTAATCTTCTTAATTTGCTTCTGAAGGTTTGGTTCTGACATTGTGTGTTTGTTTTGTAGCACTTCTGGGTTTCCATATCTATGGTTTTCTTCATTGCCGCCACAACCTTCACTCTTCTTAAATTATGTGGTATGATGCACGTTTACTTAACTATTCTCTTTAGTTAATGATCTTCTTCTTTCCAACTGCAACCTTAGAGGCATTCTCGACTAAAAGATATAAATAGATTGTTTGGTTGTTATGATATATGGTGACTGTAATGTATAAACAGTTAGGGTGTGTGCAATTTTGTAGAATCAAATGCTTACTCTCGTTACTATTGTTCTGTTTCGACATCTTTTTATCTTGATATTGCTATTGCTGCCAAGTCTCAGTCTGCTTCTGAATCTATTATGTCTCGTGCCTTATATAGGTGATGTAGCTGCGTTGGGATGGTGGGACTTATTTATAAACTTTGGGTAAAACTACTTTCCTTCTTGAATTCCTCCTCAACTATTTTCTTTACTAGTAAGATATTGAAGTCCTTCTCAACTATTTTCTTTACTAGTAAGATACAATTTTGCTTTCTCCTTAATCTACAGAATAGCAGAGTGCTTTGCGTTTCTTGTCTGTACAAAGTGGAGCAATCAGTCAATCCACAGGTATTCACATATACCGGAACCTAGCTCGTCTTCGATGGTAGTAAGATACCTGGACTGGAACAGAGGTTTGGTTGTAACCGATGACGAGGAGCATCAGCAGAGCAACAGAATATGCGGTCTCCAAGATATTGGTGGACATGTTATGAAGATCCCATTCATTACCTTTCAAATTATCCTTTTCATGCGCTTAGAGGTACAACACAGAGACAATGCACATTTGCCTTTTTCTTTCTCATTTAAGGTTTGAGCTAATTCTCTTTATAAATGTTACTCCAGGGAACTCCCGCTTCAGCCAAAAACATTCCGATTTTAGTTCTGTTTGTACCTCTTTTCCTGCTACAAGGAGCTGGTGTGATCTTTGCTACATATAGATTGGTGGAGAAGTCTTTCTTGTTGATATCTAGTGGTGGCGGCTCTTATGGAAGATATTTCACTGCGACATCATCAGCTCGTGAGTTTCTAGGGTTTTTTCAACATGGTGCAAGGTACAATCTGAACAATGGGAATCCTCTTGTGACTTGAGTCCTCCTCCTAAACACTAATTGTTCTTTGTATTGTAATCAACAGATTACTTGGATGGTGGTCTATCGATGAAGGAAGCAGAGAGGAACAAGCTAGGCTCTACTCTGGAGAAGCTACCGGGTAAAAAAGCTATTATCATCTTTTTGGTAACATGACAACAAATTTGGGATCTTTTTGACATTTACACTTATGTTTGGTCTCTGTATGATTTCAGATACAACACATTCTCACCAGAGGTTGTGAAGAAAATGCCAAAGTCTGATCTTGTTGAAGAGGTAAGAATTTACACATTAAGAGATTTTCTTTGTCATTTCGTTTTAAAATTCTTAAACTCATCATTCACCAGATATGGAGACTCCAAGCTGCATTAAGTGAGCAAACAGATATCACCACTTATAGCCAGCAAGAGTACGAGAAGCTTCAAAATGTAATACATCCACTTATCTTCCAAAATTTGTCTGCTTAATAACATCCATGGAAGTAACGATTTACTTACCCAAAACAAAAAACTTGAATTTCAGGAGAAGATTCTTTGCAGAGTTTGCTTTGAAGATCCTATCAATGTGGTTCTACTCCCATGTAGACATCACGTCCTCTGCAGGTAAAAACAAACCTTGAATATATGACTCTTTTTGTTTGCTTGCTTCTTCTTTTTTCTCTATCAAACTTAAACCGCATTGTTGTTCTTGGGACTGTGTTCTTTTGACAGTACGTGCTGCGAGAAATGCAAGAAATGTCCGATATGTCGTGTCCTGATCGAGGAACGTATGCCTGTATATGATGTGTAGTAGATTTCAGACGACCATAATGAAGATTTATTTTCTTCTCTCTTTTGTTGCTTGTTTGGTTTTTTATTAGTGATAAAGCAAGCATTTATATATATATATATATATATATATATACACTATATGTTAGTATGTTACAAACTTGAAACGGAAAACCCAATTTGTTTTCCAGTAGATGTAGATAATATTTGTAAAACCATCGTATATGTCATAAACCTTTGTTTCTCCTTTCTCTTCATTTGTAAACAAACTTACGAGTTACTTCGAGACTAGTTCCTTTACTTCGAAATTTATATAAAAACCAAAAAGCACGTCAATGTAAAAATTTTAGTCTAAATCTTTTGATCATCATATTATTTGCAAAGATACAAGTATAAAATGCTTTAGAAGAGACCTCTAAACACTGTTTTTGCGGCATTCTATTCTGCATAATCAACGTTTGCCGTTTTATGAGAAAAAAACAACAAAAAAGTTAGGGATAAAATGTGAATGAGTATCACAACAGTATAAAAACAAAACAGAAGATTTTCTCCTTGTCGTGTATCCCAGAATTTGATCTTCTCATCCAAAACAGTAGAGATAACTTCGCCTGCGACGCATCACACCACTTGAAATTATATAGTTGCATATTTAGCACCAAACGTTACTTTTGATAGAATAAAGGTTGTGGATTCTTGTATATCAGCATTGATTTTGAATCAACTTTTTTCTTTTATTCAGCTACAAGGTGTTAATCAAGAAGGTATTTACTAGTAACTAATTAATAGTTACATAGTAAAATACAGTTACTTGAGTAATAAGGAAGTTAGTTTGTATTAGAAAGAAGAGGGAAAAAGAGGATAAAAGGCTAAAGGGATAAGGTGGCAGTACACTTTGTCTTATAGCGCTGTACCTTCACCCTTATCCTCTTGTTACCGTTATGAGCTGTAAAGGGGTGAGTCATACACGGTTTGTATAAGGCTGAATGAGGACGCAATAGTGGCTTTGTGCGTAACCCTTTCAGACCTAGAATGTGTTCTATATAAACCGTGTATCCCCCTTCATTGTAGATAACTTTTCATCATCTAATACTTTTTCACATTTTCCTATCATGAGAGTCGAATCCTTATCCTACAATCTTCTATAATTTACATGGTATCAGAGCGGTTTTGTGATTCTTGAGTCTTAAATCTTGGCTTTCTTGTTCGATTCTTGTGTTTGAGAGAAGTTCTTGTGAGTTAATCCGTGGCAAAAGCTATTCTGGGTTGAAGCTGGTTCTTATGAGTTAAGCTGAAGCATCAAACCGAGCTAAGAAGGTGAAGCAAGTCAGATCTGGAAAAGTAAAGGTTTGAGCTTTATCTCTCTCTCTGGTTGAAAGGTTTAGTCTAGAGGAATCAGTTTAAGGCAAAGGTTGTGGATAGATTAGTGTTGCGGTTTGGCTTGTGGTTTGAGTAAGGAAGGTTCGAAAAGTTGGATCTTTGGTCTTGGAAAGTGTTAGTTTTGGTGTTCAATAAGCGAAATACTTAAGCTTTGGTGATGGCTGCTCTTCAACAAGCTCCTATGCCTGTTACGGTGTATGATGGCAAGATGAATGACACCTTCAAAGACTTGAGATTTGCGGTAACTCTAAATGGGAACAACTTTCTGTTGTGGAAGCGAACAACTCTGAATGTGTTAGGAGGAAGGAAGCTCACAAAACACATTGAGTTCACCTATGAAGAGCTAAAGGCAATTGATAGAGGTCTGGATGAAGATACTTGGAAGCAGTATGATCTGAATGTGCTGACTGCTCTACACTGCTCACTAGAGGCGTCAATTCTAGAAGGCTATTCGTACTGTGAGACTGCTAAGGAGCTGTGGGATACTCTTACAAGTGTCTTCGGCAATGAGTCTAACTTGACTCGGGTCTATGGTATCAAGAAAGCTCTCGGAAATCTGAGCCAAGAAGAGAGTGACTTCAACACCCATTTCGGAAGGTATAGATCGTTGGTTGCTGAGTTGGATATGTTGAGACCCTTTACCACTGATGCTAAGACACTCAAGGAGAGAAGAGAGCAAGATCGTGTGTTTGGGTTGCTTCTGTCTCTGAATCAAGGCTATACTGATGTAATCCAGCACATCTTGAGAGAAGACAAGATTCCTACCCTAGAGCAAGTTTGTGCTAAGATACAAAAGGAGTATGGCAATCAGGAGCTGTTTGGCAACAAGAATGCAAGTCTACCTACGGCTAACAAGGTGGGAGTGGCAAAACATGGAGACAAGAAGACATGGGTTTGTGAGCATTGTGAGAAAAAGGGTCATCTCAAAGACAAATGCTGGATCCTACACCCTCATTTAAAGCCAGATAAGTTCAAGAAGGACAAGATGAAGGCGAATGTGGCAGAAGCAAGTGAAGGCTCCGAAAATGCTGAAAGAGCTATGGTGCAGTTCGGTCATCATGAGAAGGCTTTACAAGCTATACAAGACAAGAGCTCAGCTTCCACCTCTCAGGAGACCATTGTGATGAACAAAGCTGATCTAGAGAGCCTCCTTCAATCCATTGCATCTAAGTTACATCCAGGCGGTATATCTCTCTTATCTTCTAACTCTAGTGATTTAAACTCATTAGTATTAGACTCAGGAGCTTCTCACCATATGATTAGTAATCCTAAGTTGTTAGAGAACATTAAACCGGCTTTAGGGAATGTTAAGGTTGCAAATGGTCATAATGTGCCAATAGAAGGTATAGGTTATATTAATGTGTTTAACAAGAAGCTAAGTGCCTTTTATATGCCTAAGTTCACCTCTAATCTTCTTTCTGTAAAGAAAACTACTAAGGACTTAAACTGTTTAGCTATTTTTAGTCCTAATGATGTTAAGTTGCAGGATATTGAGAGTGGAAAAGTGTTTGGGCAAGGCAGCACCAAGGATGACTTATATGTGTTCCAAGACATCTCTTTAAATTCTGTTTCTAAGAATAATGTTTCTTCTATCTTTGCAAACTCTGTTAAGACATCTGTTGTTTTATGGCATGAAAGACTTGGTCACCCTCATTCTAGAGCTTTAAGTTTACTTATGCCTGGTTTTTCTTATGATTGTGCAAATTGTGAAGCATGCATATTAGGCAAACATTGCAACGCTGTTTTTCCTAAGTCAGTGCGATTTATGAAAAATGTTTTGATCTTGTGCATTCTGATGTGTGGTCTTCACCGTGTGCATCTAGAGATAACCATAAGTATTTTGTCACATTTATAGATGAGAAATCTAAGTATACTTGGGTAACCTTGATGCCATCTAAGGATAGAGTTTATGATGCATTTATAAACTTTCAAAACTATGTGACTAACTACTTTGATGCAAAGATTAAGATTTTAAGAACAGATAATGGAGGTGAATATACAAGCAACAAGCTCAAAGAACACTTAGAGAAATGTGGAATTCTTCATCAAACCAGCTGCCCATATAACCCCCAACAAAATGGTGTTGCTGAGAGAAAGAATAGGCACCTAATGGAGGTGGCAAGGGCTATGCTATTTCAAAAACACATGCCTAAGAGGTTTTGGGGCGATGCAGTAATGACAGCTTGCTATCTCATCAACCGAACACCAACTCGTATCCTTGATGATAAATCTCCTTTCCAAATCCTAAATAACTCAAATCCTAGTATTGACCATTTGAGGGTGTTTGGTAGTCTGTGTTTTGTGTTTGTTCCAGGTGACTTAAGGAACAAGCTGGAGCCTAAGAGTAACAAGTGCGTATTCATTGGATACTCAACAACTCAGAAGGGCTACAAGTGCTTCGATCCAGTCACCAACCGGTACTATGTGTCAAGGGATGTCAAGTTTTTGGAAGACAAAGCCTACTTTGGGGAAAAGAGTTGGGAGAGTGTGAAGGACCTACCTAACTCAACCGCTGATAGAGCTTCAAGCCTCCGACGAATTCTGGAGCACTTAGGGAATGCAAGCTCCCCTCAGGCAGAAAAGGAAGCTCCATCTTTTCCAAATGAGGATGTGCATGAAGTTAGAGAGGATGAGAACAATGCACCTCAGGATCTTTTGGATGATCACCAAGAAAGTGATAGAGGAGAGAAGTCTAGTGAAGAAGTGGCAGAGACGGGTCAGTCTAGTGAAGAAGTGGCAGAGGAGACGGGTCAGTCTAGTGAAGGAGAGGTCATTGAATCGGGTCAGTCTAGTGAAGGAGAGTTCATTGAATCTTCAAGCGATGACGATACCTATCAAGCTCCACAAGTTACACCAGATCCAGTCTACACTCGGGAGAATCAAAGAAAGAGTACAAGAGAGAAGAAATCCCCCTCAAAGTGGAAGAATACGAGAGTTTACTACAACTGCCAAGCTGTAGCTCATCCAATTCAAGCTACTTGTTCGATTGACCTTCTTCCGGAGGAGCATAAAGCTTTTATCAGCAAGCTGGATGTAGAACTCATTCCACAAAGCTATGAGGAAGCCAAGGAAAGTAAGGAATGGACTAATGCTGTTGATGATGAGGTTCAAGCTATGGTGAGGAATCAAACTTGGGTTGAAGAAGAACTACCAAAAGGAAAGAAGTGTGTTAGCTCAAAGTGGGTATTCACCATTAAGTACAAGAGTGATGGTGAAATCGAGAGATATAAGGCAAGGCTGGTTGCAAGAGGGTTTACCCAAACTTATGGGGATGACTATAGGGAAACATTTGCTCCAGTAGCTAAGCAACATACAGTGAAAGTGGTTCTCTCTTTAGCAGTTAATTTGGATTGGGAGTTGTGGCAAATGGATGTCAAGAATGCTTTCCTTCAGGGGGAGTTAGAAGAAGAAGTCTACATGTCACCTCCTCCGGGTTTAGAAGACATAGTGGCTCCGGGAAAGGTCCTAAGGCTTCGGAAAGCAATCTATGGGCTTAAACAATCTCCAAGAGCTTGGTATCACAAGTTAAGCTCTACACTACTGGCTAATGGCTTCAAGAGGTCACACTCTGATCACACTCTATTTACTAAGCAAGATATTCATGGCATAGTAGTAGTGTTGGTCTATGTGGATGATTTGATTATTTCAGGGAGTAACAAAGAGGGTATTCAAGCCATTAAGTCCTCTTTGCACTCAGCCTTTGATATTAAAGATTTGGGTGTTTTGAAGTATTTCTTAGGGATTGAAGTGTGTAGATCCAAGGAGGGACTATTTCTCTCACAAAGGAAATATGCACTTGATCTTCTAAAGCTTACAGGAAAACTTGGAGCTAAACCGGTGGACACACCACTAGAGCAAGGATACAAGGTCAATCGAAAGGGGGAGAAGGATGATACTCCATATCATTGCCCGGAACAGTACCGAAGACTCG